GTACTGGCCACATATAAAGGCAGATATACCTACATTAGTCCTGATCATGAGTAACCACCTAAGGGCAGGATTTAGCGAAGTTTACAGCTGGATACATCCTGTTCCTGTAGCGCGTCTAAGTACATTCAAATTGTACCAAAATTTTGAAATAGTTAACTGAATACGTTTGAAAAATTATATATTCAGTTTCTACGTTATGAAAGGTTTACAGTCATATTTCCATATCACAGAGCCTGAAGTCAGATTGTCCTGTATATATAACCTAAGAATATAAAGGTCAGGTTGAGAGCCCTAATTTTATAGCAAATTTCGCCATTAAAGCGTCCATTTTAAAATTATGTCTATGCTATCATGTTATTTATTAATATATCTATATAAGTATCTAAGTGTCTCTAAACATTATTATTTAATTTCATTATATATGCTGTTTTGTTATTTTAATTTTTGAATCTACAGTATTGTCAAAACCAAATACATTGTCGCAATTTCCTACATAAGACCAATCAAACATATTAGTCATCTCAGTCATACAGCTATCAGATGTATATTTATATACGACCTTTGAACGTAAGAGTGAAGGTAAAATGTTTTTAATTTCATAAAAGCTATTGATACGAAGTGAAGATTTGAAGAGAGTACGAAGTTTAATCTTGAGGTAGAAAGACCTGAGTAGTTTGAGTAAATTCAACAAACAAAACCATACCACAAAACTTCTCAACATGGTTTTTGTGTCATCGCCTATAATAAAAAAAAAAGTGGTTTAAAATCAACAGGATATTTTTCCAAAAAATTTTTTCATAATAGTTTAAGACTGAATTAGCAAAAGTAAATTTTTGATCCCGTATCATTTAGTCATAAATAAAGCCATTATTGTTTGTTTGTTTGTTTTTAATTATGCACAAAGCTACACAAGGGCTATCTGTGCTCTGCCCACCACGGGTATCGAAACCCGGTTTCTAGCGTTGTAAGTCCGCAGACATACCGCTGTGCCACTGGGGGGCAAAAGCCATTAAATTTAGAAAGTATTTCATTACATGTAAGCAAGATCAACTTAGAAAACATATCATTAGATAATCCATTGATTGTGCCTGTAGACGATAAAGCAGTTCAATATGTAAATCAATAGCTTTCTGCAACGGAATATCGAGTTAAAGAAATCTACATCAAAAGTAGCTGTTTAAACATAATCATGAAATTTAAATCTGTGCAAGGAAGTAGAAAATTCAAAATTGTCTTTAACCGTAAATGCACTTGTAGAAATGTCATTATAAAATCTCACAAACTGTGCTTATAATTGTCAATAACAGGACTTTAGGTAAAGGGTACATAATTCCAACATTAGTGCTAACTGGTGTAATTTTTAGCCGCAGCATAGCGGCTCATAGAACGGCTCTGAGTTTGCTTTTGTTTTTCTCAATTACAAACTTTTAGCTCATAGCTCCGTCATCTTTTGACCAATTTGAGATCTAATTAGAGTTTTCGACTGAGGGGTCAAACCCTTTAAACCCTTTCGATTGATATATTTGACCACGCCTGAGGTCTCATATGTTAATTTACTCTAATCCTGCCTAAAAGAATTTCAAGTGCCGCGGCTATTGAGGATTCCCGTTTAGTTTGTATCTGTTATCCTAGCTTAGTTTCTTTAGCAGCTGGTTTATTCTTTCCGAATACAACTTTACGATACACTTAATTTCAACAGTCGCTCTATAGCAAACGTCTCACGAGGGCAACAATATTCTGTCCGCACACATTCAATTACTCATTACCTCTGTTGTCCTGTCACGTTGTGAACGTCTTATATATACAAGACTAACACATATCTAGTAAATGCTAG